GTTACAAAACCAATAGGAATGATTTCTGTTTGCTTCCTTGGATAATTCAAGTTATTTAAGGAGTTCCTCTTTTTGAGATGGTGTCATGGCGTCCAATTTCAAACGAACCGCTTCGTGAGCCGTCGCCTTTACGTGAGCCATGCGTCCTTCATAATCAGGTATAATTTCCACGACCTTTTCGAAGGTCCTCTGTGTCGCTGTGCGGATCGATGGACATTCGGTGAAGCAGGACATTGCGTTCTGCAGCATTCGGTGTAACTTAGTCAGAAACCAGTCCCAGCCCTTAAACTGCTCGCCCGCCAGCATCTTCTCCAGTATGTCCCAATCCAGAGGCTCATCATGGAAGTCATTATCAAGATTTTCTCCATAATGCATCCAGATCAACGAGATGTTGAATGGCCAAGAGTCTGCACAACAACGTAGAGCCTTGATCAGGGTCTGGCTGTATGTGCGCTCGATCTTCAGATTTAAAGGCATCAGGATAGCCGTTATGCTGAGTCGATCAAGGACTGGTTCGACTGGGAGTGGATCGATTTTCACTTGAGTTCCGTAGTTGTTAAGAAGGTTTGGGGGTCGCTGAAGCTCTGGAAATTCGTGCGAGATAACAGCATTTTTATCGGCGTCAGCTCGGGTCAGACTTCGCGACCCTGGAGGTCGGCCACGACCACGACGGGCCGGTGTCACGCGCGTGAACTGTTTGCAATGGTGCCGATTCGGATGTAGATTGGGAACGACCTCAAATGAAGGCAGTGGATCGTCTGCCTTTGGCTGATTTCCATTCTTGATTTCCACCTTGGTATTCATCGGAATGACAGCCTTTTCCTGGCGCGGGGTCTTCGGCAATGGAGAGGTTTTTGAAATGGCTGCCTTCCGCGGACGCCTGGTCTTGGCCTCAGCCCTACACTCATTGTGCAATTCCTGCTGCATTTTCGCCATGCGCAGCCAAAAGCACTCGCACAGGTTGACAGCAGCTTTAAACACGGGCGAGTCCGGACTGTTGTAGA